AGTCGGACGCTTAACCGACTGCGCCACCCAGGCGCCCCCCGGAGACCAGTTTTAACCTATACCCTATGTAGATTCCAATAAAGTTATAGAATGTTGTTTATAGCCCGTGTATCTTCAGAATTCTGGAACCATTACTTCTGCTAAAGTAACCAAAATGTTTGCCTTAAGGATTTTAGATATGACATTAATATGCAGATTTTTTTTTTTAAGTTTTCATGTCAGTTGACATAGTCATCATATATTTAACATTTGGAGAGGTGTTTGATGACTGTCAGGCTAACCAGCTCTCTGTAGGCATATTAAGCAAAAAATGAACTCAAATAATACACTTTACCTTGCTTCCCTGTAAACATTCAATCTGTTTGACCAGCTGGACTGCCCAAAGTACCTGTTCCCTATTCCTGTTTTTTGAGAAAATTTAGAGTTTAACTGGTTTATGTACATAAATATAATTTATGTTGATTGAATTCTTTTATCCATAGAACACTTAAAAGAAAAACTAGATGACTATATTAAGCTGTGGAATGGCTTAGTGAAGGTATTTCGAAACGAAAGAAGAGAAGGTTTAATTCAAGCACGAAGTATTGGTGCCCAGAAGGCTAAACTTGGGCAGGTAGGAAACATTCGCTATTTCACAATGTTAACATCTTGGATTTGGTAACTAAAAGATCGTATCCGTTTTTAAGTACCCTTCAGATTTTTTTTTTTTAATTGAAACGAAATGCTGGCTTTATTAAACCGATACCTTCTATGTCAGAATGGACTCTAATGCTAATGTATTACTAGCATCTAATGTTAAATTGTGTGTGTTATGCGATGTACCATATGTGAAGAGTGTTCTTTCTCCCTGCCTCTGTTTTTTAAGGTTTTGATATACCTTGATGCCCACTGTGAGGTGGCAGTTAATTGGTATGCACCGCTCGTAGCTCCCATATCTAAGGACAGGTAACGTTACTTGGCTTTTTTTTTTTTCTTTCCTGGGTGAAAAGTAAACCTTGCCCGAGAAGGACAAATAATATTCTTCTCCTTCTCCTGATTCTAGTTCCATTCAGCGCCTCAAGCGCTGCGTTTTAAGCATTGTCATTCGGCTGGTGGTTCTCTGGGCTGGAGCCAGACGGATCCTTTGGGCTGATTCAGATGCAGGCAGTCCAGCATTCGGGATAAGTGTAGGGTGTCTCACTTAAGAATCATCTTGTGGTTGGCTTAGTGAACAGACAACCCTGTAGCTCCAAAAGCTTTGCCTGAGAGTGACGTTAATTGTTCCCTCTACACTGTGATAACAGTGCTAAAGACTTGAAAGCGCATGCTTTGAGATGATACCTCTTGGTTTTTTATGCCTTTTTGAATTACGATTTTAGATACAAAGGAGCAGCTGTTACTCGTGTCAAAGCTTTGGGTTCCTGTAGAAACTTTAAAGTTTAGAAATAGCCATGCGGTAGAAATGTGGCGATCACCACATTTACAGAAGCGTCTGAACGATAGAAGGCAGCATTAATCTCCTAGTTCCAAAAGCCTTCGCTGCTTTTAGTCCAGAATTCTGACTGTTTCAGAATCGAGGGAAATAAAATCTGTCCCTGGGGCGAATGGTGTGAATCAAAGGAAGAACTTTGGGGGGTTTAATTATCCGTGGATTTGGTCTGAAAGCCTGTCATGAACATTTTTCACACGCTGATTCAATCTTCACAGCACCTCTGCAAGATAGATATTATTAGCTCCATTGTATTGAAGAAGATATTGAGGCCTAGAGGAGTTAATTAATTTGCCCCAATTCAAACAGCCAATAAACTCTCAAGCCGAGATCTCTCCGGGACGCTTTACACTATTTATTTAGAAATCAGAGAATCGTGAGAAGTAAAGAAAGATAACACACCTTCACCTCTTCAGGTGAAAATGAGCAGTCCTCAGGCACCATAAGGAGGTGGTTTTCCGCAGGGTCCTGTGGCATTCCCACATACGCCCCGGTGACCCCCCACCCTCACCGTCCCGTGGGAATCCACGGTCCGCAGAGAATACCGCATCTGTCTCAAATCCACTTCCCCCATGTCAGAATTCTATAGGTTTTTCTCTTCCTGGTTTCTAAACATCTAAAAAGCACCTTAACATGGTTATGTAAAGCTGTAATCTCTGTTTGGGGAACTGCATGTTAAAATCCTTTCTGATAGGATGACTATTGAAACAAGCCAAATTGTCTTTGCAGACTTGATCCTCCATCTAATTAGTCGTATAGAACTAGCATTTTATGAAGCCCAAATATAAGATATTTTTTTGCTCCAAGTTCTCAGGCCACTACTTAAGTTTGTCAGCAAGTTTTAAGGGTTTTTAAGAGTTTTTTTCCCTCTTCTTTTTTAAAAAATGCAGGAATTGGGGCGCCTGGGTGGCGCAGTCGGTTAAGCGTCCGACTTCAGCCAGGTCACGATCTCGCGGTCCGTGAGTTCGAGCCCCGCGTCAGGCTCTGGGCTGATGGCTCAGAGCCTGGAGCCTGTTTCCGATTCTGTGTCTCCCTCTCTCTCTGCCCCTCCCCCGTTCATGCTCTGTCTCTCTCTGTCCCAAAAATAAATAAAAAAACGTTGAAAAAAAAAATTTTTTTAAAATGCAGGAATATAATACGGTAGTTATTTTGTTTTTTGTTTTTTCTTTTTGGCAGTGTTTTTTGTTTATTGCAATAAAAGGAGAGGGAAAAGAAGATCACGTAAAGGAACAGGAACAGGTTTTCATAGTAACTGTTTCCAAAGGAATAGAAAGCAACAGAAAGTTGGGAGAACCACTAAGAACATAGTGGGTTTTATTTCTCTATGCACACACTCATTCACACACATTCGTGCTCACACACATTCACACTTACACGCACTCACATTCACGCTCATAGTCACATTTATATTCATTTTTTTATTTAAAAAAAATTTGTTTTAATGTTTATTTTTGAGACAGAGAGACAGAGCATGAGCAGGGGAGGGGCAGAGAGAGAGGGAGACACAGAATGTGAAGCAGGCTCCAGGCTCTGAGCTGTCAGCACAGAGCCCGATGCAGGGTTTGAACTCATGAACTGTGAGATCATGACTTGAGCCGAAGTCGGACGCTTAACCGACTGAGCCACCCAGGCGCCCCTATATTCATTTTTTTTTAAGGGAGGGATAAGGAGGAAAATAACAGTCAGGAAAATCTTGTAAATAATGCAAAACCACCAAGAGAAAATTGCCCATAGGACCAAAGTAAATATGAGGAAACATGATTAACTTCAACATTTGTCTGTAAGCTGAGGGAAAAATCTGCTGTGTCCTTCCTTTACAGAAAAGGGCTCCTTGACTTTTAAAGACATTGATTTACTTCTGTTTCCCATTAGATATTAAAGTTCCCTAATGGGGAAAAAAAAATCAACAGTAAGAAGAGATAATACAGCTAGGCATGCTACACTAGTCAGTTTTGGGTTCTTAAATGCTTTTTCATTTTCTGTAAATGTTTCAGAACTACATGTACTGTGCCTCTAATAGATTACATAGATGGGAATGATTATTCCATTGAACCACAGCAAGGTGGGGATGAAGATGGTTTTGCCAGAGGGGCCTGGGACTGGAGTTTACTATGGAAACGTATTCCTCTAAGCCACAAGGAAAAGGCCAAAAGAAAACATAAAACTGAACCTTATCGGTAAAGACTACTACTTTATTTTCTTACGTGGAATGTCTATCTAAGTACTTTTTTTTTTTCCTTCCCCATGTACTTGTATAAATATGTGGGTCCATACATACCTTCCATTTCATCTTTCCTGCCATCATCAACACAATACAGAACCATTTGCACTGTGCCGATTATAGATGTCATAAATGGCAACACATATGAAATTGTACCCCAAGGGGGTGGTGACGAAGATGGGTATGCCCGAGGAGCATGGGATTGGAGTATGCTCTGGAAACGGGTGCCTCTGACCCCTCGAGAGAAGAGAATGAGAAAGACAAAAACTGAACCATATCGGTAATCACTAAATCACTTACATGTTTTTCTTTTCTCCAGTTGCTGCTAACCTATTAACCTTTTGCCAAGCTAAAGAATTTGTTACTAACACTGTAGGTGCTGTCTCAGATTCTGTAACAGTTTTTCCCCTAACATTAGTTCTGAAGTTTGAATTCACCTTTACTACTTTGTAATTGTTTTTTTCTCTAAATGCAAGCTCCACTTTTGGGGGGATGGCAGGGGAAGGTTATATGGCATTAGTTGCGAATACAAGTGAAAAAAACCTTAGCCCTCCTTTCCTAGTAGACTAGACATCGAGTTTTATTCTTTTGACCATAATTTCATTCTGTAAATTTAAAATGCATAAATTACTTACAATCCTGGTTTTATGTCCACTTTGATCCCTTGGCTGTAGTGTTAACAATGAAAGAGAAATAGCAAGAGATTTCTTTGGGTTTTTTTTTTCTTCTTTGTGTTTTGTATGCTAACTCGTAAATACTAATTTTGTACCGGTTAAATCTGATGAATAAAAAAAAAAATACATGACTTTGGAAAATATTACACGGAATCCTTTATCACTTCCTTCTCAGAAGAGCACTTGATTAAAAGGAAACTTTATTCTAGAATCAGCTTTTGTCCCTTCTTACGGGATAAAATAGAACAGTTCTGCTGCTGTCTTCATTTGGTCTCTAAACCGAAACATTTTACTGTCCTTCAAAGTGACTCCAAATGAAATGTTTGGTCAGATGTTAGCAGAGGCTTCTAAGTGTGTCTAATTTTGTGTTTCTGATCTTATGGTTCTGCTTTTGGTCTCTCTCTCCTTGTTATACTACTGATGATGCTAGAACTCTTTGGGGAAGGTGTTTCTAATGTCATGCAAATGCTGCTGGGATCTGGGCATGCCGTGATACAAGATACTGAGATGGCAAACATAAGGAAATTATAGAATTTTAATCTTTGACACTTTCCAAATTTCTCCTTCAAGTTCTTTTTTGAAACAACTCAGGAATTTACTGCTTACCCACTTGATTTAACGAATACTTCTGGGTGTAAAAAAGAAAGGGTAGTGATTATATTTACATTTCTGCTCATTCCCTGGGTTTAGCTAATAAAGACATTTTTTTTTAAAGTGGTTTTCATGTTAAGATGCATTTGAAAAGATATACGGAGATAAGTGGGGATATGTTTAAAGATCAAAAAAGCATAGTTATAATAATTGTAAACGACAGTCAAATAAATGTGACAAGGAAGTAACCAAGAACATGTTGGTGCTGCTTATTACCAGATTAGGCAGCATGTCTTAAGAAGACAAGGCATAAGAGAATGACTTTCACTTGATGTGATTTCCACTCATATTGAAAGTATTACTTGATTTATTATTTATCCACTCAACAAATATTTAATGAGTGCTTACTATGTGCCAGACATTGTTTTCCGGGGATAAACTTTTAAAAAGTACGTTCTCTCGTGGCATCTAAAGTGTAATGAGTGAGACGGAAATTAAATAGATAACTACACAAATAACTCAGGAACAGCACCTGCAGTAAGTCACGTGAAGAAAAATCCCAGGGTACGTGGAGCTTCCGGGAAGGAGAACCTCATCCAGCCGGGAGGAGCAAGAACAGCCTCCCTGGCAAAGGCCCCCCTGCAGGCTGAGGCTTGAAAGGTGAGGCGTCAGCCCTGTGGAGAAAGAGGAAGAACGTTGCAGGAGAGCGAACAGCAGAGGTGAACCCCTGAGATAGAAGAGAGTTGGTTTTGTTGGAGATGTGAGCAGAGCAGTGAAGAAGAACTCAGGACGAGGAAGCCCACTCAGGAGTCGGGAGAGTCTGGCATCACCTGGGCCCAGCTTGAGTCCACTCTGCCTGCTGTATGATTAGATTGGGATGGGGGCAGCATAGAAGAAAAGACCCCGTCGGGGTGTTCCCGTAGCAGTCCAAGCAGTGGTAGTTTGGTCTAGGATGGAAGCAGCAGTGATGTTGGCAAGTAGAACACAGGCTCAAGATAGATGTTCAAGGTAGAATCGGTAGGATTTAGTGACATTAAATATTAGGTGTGGCGAGGAAGAAAGTACTCTGACGGAGAGTCTACTTAAGAGTCATGATACATAGTAATTAATTGGGGGTGGGGAACAGGATGAAAATGATTCCCCTTATCACTTGCTCTAGTGATGAGAATGGCTCGTCCCTAGAAAGTGCCCAATTCAAGATTCCATTCAGGAAGCTCCGCAGATCACCGTTTTGCATTCCTGCCTCCTGACACAGTAAATAGCTAATGTCTAATTCCCTGGTGTCGTTTCTTTGCTACATTTGCAAACTCTGAATGAACTGTGGCTGTTCCACAATGATTTACACCCTTATTTGGCATGCCCCTGAGCTATAAAATTAAAAAATGACAGACAACTTCCATGGTCTATGGTTTCACTCATCCTAGAATGACTCATAAATCATTGTAGGAGCAGTTAGCAGGCCATGGTTGTAAGGCTCAGGATTTTGAGGAGTGAAAGAAAATTCTGTCTTAGCTAACTTGAGTCTCAAGGCTTAATTTTCAAACCAACAAAGGAACTAAGGCACCCTCTAATGGCAAGATGATGCAACGCCCTAATTTGTAGTGAACTATCAATTGGATTTCAGACAAATTGTAAATCCATTAAAGAATTATGAACCGATTGTTTTGTGAAGGCTTTGTAATTTCTTAATGTTTGGCCATCAGTTTTGTCTCTTCTGTGCATTATTTAGACTATGTTCCAAAAAGGCTTGTTGTCTATTAGTGAAGGGATTCTGGGATTTATCTTTATTAGTTATTGCACTGTTTCTTTTCTTAGGTCCCCTGCCATGGCTGGTGGATTATTTGCCATTGAACGAGAGTTCTTCTTTGAACTGGGTCTGTATGATCCAGGTCTCCAGATTTGGGGTGGTGAAAACTTTGAGATCTCATACAAGGTAACGTTTTCTTTAAACAAATGCAGTTTTCTACGTAGTTATTACTGACTTTGGTGACTTTCAGATAAGGCTGGTTTTTCTGGGAAAAGATCTATTTAATGCATTTCTCCGAATTATAAAGAATGACTAACAAAAATGCATGCCTTTGGGGAGAAATAGGGCAAAATGCAAAATCCAGACTTGTTGCATATTTATATGGCTCATCTCAACATTGAGGCCAGCAAACTTCAAAAATGAAAATACCTCCTCCTCCCACTCCCCACCTCACCCCCCAGGCTTTCTGTGCATTAAAGTCTTTGTTTGTTATAAAAGCCCTTTGGAGAACCTGCACTGTATGGGAGCCACATTTGACCATCCACTGACACAGTTACCCTTTATCTCTATGGGACATGATGCTTCAGGAAAGAAACAGATCCCAACCATGACTTTGCATCCTCAGACTGACCCTGGAGCTGCCTCCCTGCAGCACCCGCCCTGTTGCTGAGGCAGCCCTTGAACAATGATACCTTCCATGCTCCGACCCATCCCCACCCCCATTTCCCAAAAGAAAGAGAACTGTATCACAGTTTGGGTTAAACAGATATTTATTGTCTCTTGTCTTAAATGTCCAGAGACGGAAGAACAACTCAGTCGTTGCTCTCAAAGAACTTAGAGTTCATAAGAAGAGATTAGAATTGTACTCAAATTCATAATATGATGAGAAGGTAAAGAGCATTCGATTGGTATGATTAAGAAACAGCATTGTGGGGGCACCTGGGTGGCTCAGTCGGTTAAGCATCCAACTCTTGGTTTCAGCTCAGGTCATGATCTCATGGTTTATGAGTTCAAGCCCCATGACGGGCTCTGCACTGGCAGCACGGAGCCTGCGTGGGATTTCTCTCTCCTTCTCTCTCTGCCCCTGCCCAGCTTGCTCTCTCTCTCTCTCTCTCTCTCTCTCTCTCAAAAAAAATAAACATAAAAAATTTTCAAAATGAAACAGCATCGTACTGGAGGTAGCATTTGAGGCAAACTAGAAAGGTGGGCATGGTATTGATAAACAGAGATAAAAGGAGAGGAGAGAGACCTCGGAGCAAATAGAATGGGGAAAGGTACAAAAGTGGGCACATGAAGATTATACTCAGGAAACAGGAGCAGTTTAGCAGAATCAGACAGCATGGAGAAAGACATCCAAGAAGATAAAGTGGACAAGTATGTTAGGACTGTATGGAAGAGAGCCTTTAATGCTGAGCCAAGAGATTTTTACTGAACTTGATAAGCAGTGGCAACCTATTGAAGATATTAAGCAAGGGAATAACATGACCCAAAGCTGCCCTTTAGCTAGAATAATCTCTTACTATAAATAAGGATAGCATTGAGTAGAGAGAAGCTGGAGGTGAAGAAGCCAGTTTGGAGGTTATTATACTAATCACCCAGGTGGGAAATACATTAGCAGTGGAAACAGTGAATAATATCAGGAGTCAAGAATCTGTGTGACTTTGAAAGGTTATGCTGGGGAAAGGGTGTTTAAAGCTGCAGGTACACAAGAGGTCCTCAGTGGCCGAACGTGACTGCATTCCCGGTTGCCTTCTTTGTTATTATAAGAGTTTGAAAAACAAGCAAATCATTTTAGGACTTATTTAGTTTATGAATTCCCCATGGACACTGTATCTAATTTAGATTTTATATTTACCTTGATAAGACAAATTTTCAACTATATTTTATCATTTGAAACAACTTGCACGTGTTTTTTTTTTCCCCCTGATAGATATGGCAGTGTGGTGGCAAATTACTGTTTGTCCCTTGTTCGCGCGTTGGACACATCTACCGTCTTGAGGGTTGGCAAGGGAATCCTCCGCCCATTTATGTTGGGTCTTCTCCAACTCTGAAGGTGAGTCTTTGGGTAAAAGGAGAGAAGCCTAGGGAACTTTGTACCACACGTGGCACATTTATGTACCACATGCTGGGGTGGTCACTTAAATGTCAGCTCCCTGAATGGGATAAATCGTTTAAGCACTCATGCTGGTTCCCCCTTTTAATTTAAGCTGAACTTATTCATGAAACACCTTATTGTTTTTGTTTTGTTTTGTCTTTTTTTGAAGTATGGTTGACATATTATATATATTATTTTATATTATATAAGTTACCGGTATACACAGGCGTTCAACATTTATATACATTATACATTATGCATTATATATATTATGAAATGATCATCACAGTAAGTCTAGCCACCATCTGTCACCATCTGTAACAGCTACCATCTGTTACAATAATATTGTAATAATACAATATTATTAACTATATTCCCTGTGCTGTACACACAGGCTTCCCCTTCCCTTATTTCACCCATCTGCCCTCCACCTCTGGTAATCATCAGTTTGTTCTCTGTATCTATGAATCTGTTTTTCTGTTTTGCTTGGTTTGTTCCTTTGTCTTTTAGAATCCACAGAGGAGTGAAATCATATGGCATTTGTCTTTCTCTGCCTTACTTATTTCACTTAGTACAACACCAGCCATGTTGTCCATCTAGGTCCAGCCATGGTCTCACAAACAGCAAGATTTTGTTCTTTTTTGTGGCTGAGTAATATTCCATCCTGTGTGTGGGAGAGGGGAGAGAGAGAATATATCTATATACCCCACATCTTCTTTATCAATTTTATCGATGGATACTTAGGTTGTTTCCATATCTTGGTTGTTGTAATTGTAAATTGTATTGTAAATAATACTGCAGTGAACATAGGGGCACATATAGCTTTTTAAATTAGTGTTTTTGTGTTTTGGGGGTAAATACTCAGAAGTAGAACTGCCAGGCTGTAGAGTGGTTCTATTTTTAATTTTTTGAGGAATCTCTGTACTGTTTTCCACAGCGACTACACCAGTTTGCATTCTCGAAAACAGCCACATGAGGGTTCCCTTTTCTTCATATCTTCACCAACACTCGATATTTCTTGTCTTCTTGGCAAGAGCCATTCTGACAGGTGTGAGGTGATATCTCATTGTGGTTTTGTTTCCCTGATGCTTAGTTATGTTAAATATCTTCTCATATGTCTGTTGGCCACCTGTATGTCTTCTTTGGAGAAATGTCTGTTCAGGTCATCTGACCATTTTTTAATTGGACTGTTTGTTTTTTGATATTGAGTTGTGTGAGTTCTTTATATATTTTGGCTATTAACCCCTGTTTGAGTGGATCGTTCGCAAATAAATACCCTCCCATTCAGTAGGATGCTTTTTCATTTTATTGATGGTTTCCTTCACTATACAAAGCCTTTTTAGTTTGATGTAGTCCATTTGTCTAGTTTTCTTTTGTCGCACCTGCCTGAGGAGACAGATCCAAAAATAATATTGTCCAAGAGCTTAGCCCTGTGTTTTCTTAGAAATGTCACGGTTTCAGGCCTTACATTTAAGTCTTTAGTCATTTTGAGCATATTTTGTGTGTGGTGTAAGAAAGTGGCCCAGTTTCATTCTTTTGCAGGTAGCTGTCAGTTTTCCCAACATTCATTGAGAAAACTGTCTTTTCCCCTTTTCCTTCTTTGTCAAAGATTAATTGACCATATAAGCATAGGCTTATTTCTGGACTCGCTATTCTGTTCCATTGGTGTCTATATCTGTTTTTGTGCTAGTACCATACTGTTTTGATTGTAACTTTGTAGTGTAGTTTGCAGTCAGGGAGCATGATACCTCCCGGTTTGTTCCTCTTTCTCAAGATTGCTTTGGTTATTTGGGGTCTTTGGTGGTTCCATGCAAATTTTAGGATTATTTGTTCTCATTCTATGAAAAATACTGTTGGTATTTTGATAGAGATTGCACTTAATCTGTAAATTGCTTTGGGTAGTATGGACATTTTAATAATAGTGATTTTTCTAATCCATGAGTGTGGTATATCTTTACATTTATTTGTGTTGCCTTCAATTTCATTCATCGGTGTCTTTTTTGTCTTTTTTTTATTTCAAGTTTTTATTTAAATTCTAGTTAGTTAATATATGGTAAAATCATCAGTGTCTTATAGTTTTTGGAGTATGGGTCTTTCACCTCCTTAAATTTATTTCTAGGATTTTCTTTGATGCAATTATAGATGGGATCGTTTCCTTAATTTCTTATGGAAATGCAACAGACTTATGTATATTAATTTTGTATCCTGCATCTTTACTAAATTCATTTATTACTTCTAATAGCTTTTTGATAGAGTATTTATGGTTTTCTATGTAATGTGTCATGCCATCTGCAAATAATGAGTGTTACTTCTTTTCCAATTTGGATGCTTTTTGTCTCTTTCTTGTCTGATTGCCATGGCTAAGACTTCCAATACCAAATTGATTACAAGTGGCAAGTGTGGGCATCCTTGTCTCAGATCTTAGAGGGAAAGTTTTTAGCTTTTCACCATTGAGTATGATGTTAACTTATGGGCTTGTCATATAGGGTCTCCATTATGTTGAAATATGTTCCCTCTATACATACCCACTTGAGAATTTTTATCATAAATGGATGTTGAATTTTATCAAATGCTTTTTCTGCATTCATTGAAGTGATTATATGATTTTTATCCTTCTTTTTGTTAATGTGGTGTATCACATTGATTGATTTGTGGATGTTGAACCATGCTTGCGTCCCCAGAATAAATCCCACTTAATCATCATGTATGATCGTTTCAATGTATTGTTGAATTCAGCTTGCTGATATTTTGTTGAGGCTCTTTGTGTCTATGTTTGTCAGGGGTCTTATTATTTTTTAAGATTATTCATTGTATCCCACTCAGATTAAGATGTATGCTCTCCACAAGGACGTCTCAAATAAATTCAAAAAGGACTACCACTCTGTAGGAAAGTAGTTGAAACGAAAATATCAGCTTCTATTATTCACACTTGAGCAAAATATTATTTTTGTTTTGTTTAAAAAAAATAATCATGTTAGAAGTTTGTATAGTAAACAAAATCAAATTTTTGAACAGTGCTTACAAAAGATTATTATCTTTTGTCCCTCAAACCAGGGGCAAACCAGAAAAGCTTCACAGGAGATGAAGTCCTTTATTCTCGACCAAACAACTTTGAAGATTTTTTAATTGTGCTGTTTCCATAAATTCTAAGAGCATAGGACTCTGATTCCATTCATTTTCTGGAGCCCCTAACCAAGTCAAAAGGAAGTCAGAAGGAAGTTTATTATTGGCTGCAGATGCAACTTGGGATAATTCCTTAAAGGGAAATAGATAATCGAAGCAGAGATGACAAGGCTTAAAGAATGAACAAAGCTTTCTAACCAGCCAAATTATCATAGAAATGGCCAAAGGGAGCCCCAGCCAGAATAGGAGATGAGATTAAAATGTCCATGCTAAAGCAAAGGGCACCATATTAACACCAGGCCTGACTGGCATTACAGGAAAGAACTTGCCCTTGGATTTGGACCCATAATCACAAAGAATGAAAGATCACATTGACTCATGAAGGCCTGTGCTACAAGGAAGAGAGATGTGAGGGAAATATTTATCCACTCTAAAAATGAACTGTACATGTCATAAAAACTATCTGATAAATGTAACATTCAGTCTACACTTAGTGCTAGAGTATGCCAGGTGCTTTTTTTTCCTCCAGCTTTAACATCATCTACTTCAACCACAGTGTGCTAATAATGGTTTATGTCGACTTATTCAGCTCGTGTGTCTTCTCTGAGCCTCAGACTTTAATGGTCAGTTGCCTCTCAGAATTATGTTCTCAGATGACCCTCAGACATTTCAAACTCAATGGAGTCAAAGCTGAACTTTTTAACTTTTTCTCAAAAGCAATTCCCTTTCCTATATTCTCTGTTTGCCCATGAATGAAACTTACGGGGCATGTTGGGGTAGTCCTCCCTTCCCTCCCACTGAACCAAGCCCTGAAGAGTCTACCTCAGACATTATCTCCGAAATCCATTCCTTCCTATACATCGTGCAGGTCCTCAGATCTCTCCCATATAGATAATTGAATTGCTCCTGTTTGGCTCTCCACCATCAGGCTCAATCCCCTTTAATCTGTCTTCCACTCACCCCCAGTGTGGTTCCCCTGATCATTAAATCTCATACCTGTACCTGCTTAAAACCTTTTGATGACTGTCAGCCAAAAGATAAACTTCAAAGAATTTTAGAAAAGAATAATAATAATAGCTAACACTTTTTGACAACTTACTATGTACCAGTCACGAATCTAAATGCTTTGCTAGATTAACTCCTTAATTTTCGCAAAACACGACAAGGTAAGTTGTGGTAAACTACTTTTAGGACTACAAATGCACCATGATTTGCCATACTTCATTTGGGTTCCTCTTTGCCCTGACTACCATTCACACATAATTAACCACTCCTTCAAGACACAGCTGTCCAGTGCCCTTCCATGGTGGCCCTCTGGACTTCTCCATCCCAAACAAATAAATGCTCCTTCTTTGTGTTGCTATAACCTTATGTATGCACGTTTCATTCTTCGTGTTCATTAGTATTTAGTTTCGTGTTCATTAGACACGGGCTGTGTCTAATTCAGGATGAATTTGCAAAAATTAAAAATACTTAGCAATGGGGGCACCTGGGTGGCTTGCTCGATTAAGCATCCGACTCTTGGTTTTGGCTCAGGTATGATCCCATCGTATCATGAGTTGGAGCCCTGTGTTGGGCTCTGCGCTGACAATGCAGAGCCTGCTTACGATTCTCTCTCCGCAACCCCCCCCCCCGCCTTTGCCCCTCCCCCACTCGTGCTATTTCTCTCAAAAATGAATAAATAAAAAAAATTTTTTAAACATATTCAGCAATAATATTACACATTTAAAACTTTTTTGAACCCATGGGCTTTTGCAACAGCATGCCTGTGGGAGCATGTTCGCCTTTTGGTAGTTACAGCCTAGGAGAATTTTAGTCTGAATGCAAGGTATTTTCTACTCCTGATGTAACCCAGGGGTCAGCAACTATGGCCTTTAAGTCAAATCCAGCCCTTTTCAGTAAATAAAGTGATTGATATTGGAGCACCACCACATCCTTTTGTGTGCGTATTGTCTCCAGCTACTTTCTCAGTACAACAGGGCTGAGTAGTTGCTACAGAAACTGTATGGCCTGCAATGCCAAAGATACTTACTCTCTGGCCTTTTACAGAGAAAATATGCTGATGAATAACGTACAAGACCAAGGGACTAGATTGAGAATGTACTCAATCTGTTACAACATTCATGCCTACAGGCATTTGTTCAGTTAAGCCTTAGCAGATAGATCTTTGTCAGTTATCACAGTATTAACTTATTTTATTGTTCTTTAGTTGCTTTCCCTTAAAGTGCATCAACTGGTGAAAGTATCCTATCAATTCTGGGTTATAGCAAAATGGTTCTAGTACAGTCATAATGTGACCAAAAAAGCCACTTGCAAACAAAATGTGTTTTATTCAACAGAGCTATTGTTTTTCATGCTGGTTCCTGAAATGAGCCTTTTCCCTACACATGCTGGTGGTGTGGTTCTAAATGACAGAGATTGTTCTGGGCAAAGGAGCACCCATTTGCCGCCAGCCTTCCCTAAACCCTCTCTGGGCTTCACCTTCTTCCTCTAAAAGCAGGATAGAATATATGATCTTAGAATATGCGATCTTACAGCTCAGTGACGTCAGATTCTGTGTCCATCACTTCTTAGTTGAACATGCATTACATTCTACCCTTAGCAATTGACATATTAGAGTCGTTAACTCACTTGCGTTTGTTTTATTAAATATCAGGTCCTATTGAAATGAGTTTATTATATGTTGGTCATATTTCATGTGTCTAAGATGGGCTGCTTACAGCATTGCAGATATTTTCCTTTCTCATCATCTTTTCTTTTTCACAGAATTATGTTCGAGTTGTAGAGGTGTGGTGGGATGAATATAAAGACTACTTCTATGCCAGTCGTCCTGAATCAAAGGCATTACCATATGGGGATATATCTGAGCTGAAAAAATTTCGAGAGGATCACAACTGCAAAAGTTTCAAATGGTTCATGGAAGAAATAGCTTATGACATAACTTCACACTACCCTTTGCCACCCAAAAATGTTGAATGGGGAGAAGTAAGTACCAGCTGGTATTCAGATCTCAAAAACTATGTATGTTTGGAGACTTGAGTTTGGGAGAAGGCAGAGAAAGATGGAAATGTGTGAGTGAAAGAGAAAAATTCTTGGAGAAAAGTTTCTCTAAAAACTGTCCTCCCCTACCTTTCTACCAGACTGTTAACACCTCCCCTGACCACCTGACCACTGTGTCCCCTGCTCTCAGCTTTTGGACTTCTGGCTCTCCATCCTCAAGCACTGTCCACTCCCTGCAGCCTCTGCCACTTCCCTGCCCCTCACTCTGACTCCTTTTCCTGACCAATTCCAACTTACCCTATTGCTCGCAATCTAGAGAGCACCAGTTCTGAAAAGCCTCTCTTATCCTTCCCCACTCTGTCAGAAAAACTGAGTTCTGGATCTTTCCATGGGTTCTCATAACATCTCATAACATTCAAAATTGCCTATCTCTCAGCCAGTCTCTCGACCCAGGACCTGGTTCACCATTGTGTCCCAATGGACTAACACAGAGACCTCCCCATACACAATAGACACTCAAACAATGCTTGTCAAATGAGTGAATGGATTGATGGTAACTGAAAATAAGTAAGGTCAGGCATTGATTGCTGTTGTCATTTCTTTGTTTCTTCAGACTTGCGTTTGTAATCTCATTTCTCACGTCCCCCCACCCATGAGCCTAATGCTGCTGCCTCATGGGTATATTAAACATGCCATGAACGTTCAAACTTATGTATCATTGTGTAATTAAGTATTCAACAAATAGTGGTCAAGGGCCTACTATGTATCAGTCACTCTTGTAGACATAAGACAAGCAGGTCCCTTTCATCAGGTCTTTCCCCTTGGGGGGAAAAAGACAACAAAAGGGAAACAAAGAAGATAATGGCAGATGGTGGTAAGGCCCTCAAAGGAAATAAACAGGTGACGGTCAAGAGAATTTAGGGACAGATTAAGGAAGCCACCTTTGAAGAGGTGACATTTAATCTGAAATCTGAGTGATCAACCAGAGAGCCAGGAGGGAGTGTTCCAAATAAAGAAAATGCTGAGGTTGAAGGCTCTGAGTCAGGAAATGCTTTTCCTTTATGATAATCAGAAAAGAGGAGATTAATAAGGAGGGAGGCCTTTATCCTATAGGTATGGGAAGCCGTGGGAGGGTTTTAAGCAGGTAACATAAGTTGACTGATGCCTTGCTTTTTAATCACCCTGTTGTGAGGATTTAGAGTAGAAACAAGGATGCCAATTAGGAAACTAGTAGAGTAGTTCTGGTAAGAAATGACGGTGGTGGCTGAGACGAGGATGTCAAAAATGGAACAGAGACAAGCCGACAAATGCAAGGTACATAATTCATCTGGAGGCAGATCGCTGACAGACGGGTATGTGAAGGATAAGGGCCAAGATGACTAGTTGTGTTTTTTTATTTGAGTAGCTGATTCGGTGGCAGCTGAGATTGGGATGCTGATGGAGGGGATGAGGAGGAAGCGTGGGGGAATAGCAAGTTCTTTATTGGCTTTCTGATTGTGGGAAGTGCCTACTGGACATCCAGGTGCGGCTGTCAAGTAGGTAACAGACTACGTGATATTGAAGCCCAGAAAAGAGGCAATGTACATTTGGAGCCATCAGCGGGTAGATTGTCTCATGCAACTGAATGAACTCACCTAGGGAGAAAACAGAGATGGATGAAAGAAGATGGGATGCATCCCTAAGGAATCCTGACGTTTAGAGTTTGGGAATAAAAGAAATCAACACTTACGCTGTGCACATCTTGATTTAATACGTACCTCCCCATACTCTGTATTTCATCTCTATGTTCTATCATAGCATATTATAGCAACCTGTTACCTTCTCAATGAGAATCTGCCTGCCGTCCCCCAAACTGCCTTAGCCACCACCTTTAACTTGTTCTTCTTTTTCTTTTCCCCCATGGCACTTACTGCTTCCAAACGTGTTTATGTTTTTTGCTTATAGTCTCTTTCCCTACCTAGAATGTAAGTTCGCTGGGGCGAGGACCTTTTATCTATTTTGCTCACTGGTGTATCAGAGCCTGCCACATGCCTGACACAGTAGTCACTTAATATTTGATGAACAAAGACATGAGTGAATGGATAGATGAAATTTTCTGTTCTCCCTTTAGAAGTTCACCCCCAAATATAGCTTCACTCCAACCCCTATCCCCATCCTGGCCCCTGAACCTTACACCTCACTTCTCAGCATTCCTTCCATTTTGCAAGGTAAACCCCTACCCATTTAGACCGCATGTCTCCTTGAGGCAGTCTTTAGAGTTCCTCCAAGCAGGGCAAGAGCCTCCTTTTTTCACATGCCCAACCCTCCATCCTGATTGACACTTAGCCTTCAGTCTCTCACGGACATGAGGGTCCTGGACCATGACTTGATTCTCCTTGTATCTGCTTAAGCACTCATCATCATAGGTGCTTAGTCAATATTTGCTGAAAGAATAAACATTTTTTTAACATTTTATCCAAATACTATAGTAATTTATAATTGAGATACGAATATATAGTATTTCCAAGAAAGGAAAAAAGGTGATTTTTACACAAAATATGCGTCCCAAAGATGATCCCCTGTGTTTGCTTCTCACCTACATTATTCATTGTCAGGGAAAAGTCTCACTGCCTGGCGCATTTGCCATAATCTTTGCACCCTAGGCCCCTTGGAGACAGCTGCCAAAATTGTCACAGAGCCATTTGGAAGAGTTCCCTTACATATTCAATTCTGGGCCAGTGTCTCTTAACACTGAGGTAATAGGTAACTGTACTCTATTTGCTTCTCATCCACATGAATCAGCATGAATCTGGAATTGTATTTAATGATATCTTTTTAATTTTCTTTCCTCTGTGGTATTTTATCAAAATCTATAGACCAGTGCCCATAGTTGGGATGAGCCCATTCCAGTGTTGACTTCAAGATCATAAACGATTTCAGAGATGACTGGTATGCTGTAAACTACTCAAAGACTGATAGTACTGTCAAAACCTGGCATTACACACACCCAGATTTCCACCGTGAACAGCAGTATTTAGCATGAAACCCTCTTACTCTGAAGCTAGAGTGCATTACAGCTAACCTGTTGCCTGCTCTTTGGCTCTTTGTTCATTTTTGTAGATCAGAGGCCTTGAAACTGTTTACTGCATTGATAGCATGGGGAAAACAAATGGAGGCTTTGTTGAACTAGGACCCTGCCACCGGATGGGAGGGAATCAGGTAAATAACCATATTTCTATGTTTTTATAGGTCTGCTGCATTGGAGCAGAATGTCTTACTGATCACGGGGCTTAGTTTGCTTTTTAATTTGATAATTTTGTTTGGGTAAAGTAAAACATTCTATAAAAAAAAAATTTGACAGTGCTAAAACATTTATTTAGATGAGGAGGATGACAGCATTATTGGTTTTCACAGAACCAATCTGAACCTAGAATTTATGTCTGATATAAGAGATTAGAATATATTCCTGTGTGAGTATAGAATCATGTAAGCCAACTCTCTGAACAATTTTATTTGCAATATTGTTCAGTATTCCACATTTCCCCCTTATAAGCTAGGATGTTACTGCCAGTAAGTATATTTCACTAATATATTTTATTTCCTTATATGGGTATTGTTCTTGTCTCTTAGATTGTGAAATGTCATCAGCTCTGTTTCTACTTTTTCATCTGCTTACATTGTTGGTACATAATAAATATGTGTTAATGACCCATTCTATATCCAAGAGGCTAAAGAACATAATCCTTTAGGTGTTAATAGGAGTCTTCGTTAATATCAAAATGAATATAGTTCTTCTCTCTGGACTTAAAATTCTGAACATACAGAAAAATTATAGAAAAGTAAGATAGTCACTGAATTTAATTTTGAGTTAAGTTTGTCTTTCTTTCTTTCTTTCTCTTTCTTCCTTCCTTCCTTCCTTTCTTCCTTCCTTCCTTCCTTTCTTTCCTTTCTTTCTTTCTTTTTTCTTTTAAATAATGTATATCTGGGGCACCTGGCTGGCTCAGTCAGTGCAGCATGAGAGGCTTGGTCTCGGGGTTGTGAGTTTGAGCCCCGCGTTGGTTGTAGAGATTACTTAACAGTAAAATCTTTAAAATAAAATAATGTATGTTAGAAGAGAAAGTGCCTCTGTTACTTTATTTCTTTTTTTTTTAATAGCTTTTTCGAATCAACGAAGCTAACCAACTTATGCAATATGACCAGTGTTTGACAAAGGGGCCTGATGGATCAAAAATTATGATTACACACTGTAATCTAAATGAATTTAAGGAATGGCAGTACTTCAAGGTATTGTGCATTTCAACTCCTGAAATGATATTATTTTGATTTCATTTTAATAACATCTACCATACGAAATTTAGATGTATAAATCTTAAAACCTGCATTCAGGTTGACTTGCATTTCCCTCTAGTTAGTCATTTGTTTTCCTGAGCATTGAGTGACTCCTTGTTCCATAATGAAGCATCACTTTCATTCTCTGGTATAACGTCCTGTAATGAGGTCACAGAATGTCTATGAAGACCCAGTGCTAATTTCAGTAACACGGGAAAAATCTGTTCTGTGAGGCAGTAATCACCATTGTTCTAATATCGAAATCTTATTTGTTAAATCTAAAAGAGTCATTCATTAAAGTACAATTATTTAAAAATTACATATGTAATTGAAATTATATGTATATAAAATCTTTTAAAATATTGCATTTATATTTCATGTTGTCCAGCAGGTGGAGATAGAGACAAACAAATAACACTTGGAAATCTGGGCCTTCGTGACCTCTCTTTATTAGCGTTATTTGCTAAACACAACTGGATAAATATTGCCTATTGCTTGCTTAAAGGTCATGTTTAGTTATTCACTTGACACTGCAGGAGCAGTTTTGCTCTTTCACCTGTGAATAGTCAAAGCTCTTTGCCAAGTTGAAGATTCCAACATATTAATGGATTGATGTATAATTTTCAGAGTCTAGACTTGACTACATCAATTTATTGAGAAACACAAAGTTGGGAAAGCTGCCCCAAACCAAAAGAATCTGGCAACTCTCAACTTCATTTGCTCATTTAGTAGTTGTTATCGTACCATGTCTGTTAGGCAAGCCCTTATTTGCTATGTAGTGACAGTATTATGACCCAGCTTAATATTCCCAGTTATCATCATTCCCAGATAATTACCATGAAGTGGTAAGTATATGTCAGTTGCTGATTTTTTTCTTATAACAAGTTAGGAAGGAGAACATGAACATAAATCGTGAAGAACAGAGCATTTGTTTCCACAAAGATGAATAATAGCAATAAATGATAGGGTATTAGTAAAATGGTATTAGTAAAATAGTAAAAGAAGGCCCTAGCAGACCAGAAACTACCATCCAAAAGTAGTTTAATGGATAAAAAATGGAATGTATATATTTTAGGTTAACAAAGAAGAGATTAATAGGAGGAATTATTTCTGACAAGTTTCATATAGGAAGTATTATTGTTCCAGGTCTTGAGATATAAAAAGGCTTTTCATGGAGGATAAATAAGAAGACTGGGTGAACAAAGGCATGGAGTAAAACTGTAGAAAACTCTAGGGATCATGTTTAGTTTGGTATCCCTAAATTGGAGTCCACATGAAAGAACATTCAACTTCACTTTGTAAGTTTTGGAAAGTGAATGACATTATTTGAGGAACACAGTGATAGGAAATAGTGGATACTTTCAGGAAAATAATTCTAGAAACATTGTGCAAAGTATGGACTGATAAGCAGATCAGCTCAGTCAGCAGTTCTCAAGCTTTCCGATCTCTAGATTCCCTCTACACTCTTGAAAATTGAGACCCCCCCACACACGCAGATTTTATTTATCTAGTTTATAACTAACAATATTTTCTGGATTGCAAATTAAACCTGACAAATTTTGTAAGTATGTATTTTTGTTGTATTTGTATGTATGTTTTCATTCATGTAAAAGTAATAATAACCCTACTACATATTCACATAAACAATTTGAATGACAAATTACAATTTTTCAACAAAGAAGAATGGCATTGTTTTATAGTTTTTCAAATCCCTTTAAATGTCTGGCTTAATAGAAGACAGCTGAATTCTCATATTGTTTCTACCTTCAATTTGATGTGATATATCATTTTAGTTGAAGTATATATGAGGAAAATCAGACTCAAACATGCAGCTGGAGAAGAGAGGGTTCATTTAGTAGGCTTTTCAGGTCATTGTAGCTGTTCTTTGATGCCACCCCACAACTAGATAAGTGGTAGTTTCTTAAAAATCATTTGCAGTATAGACTCTGAAACCATGTCAGTGAACATTTTGCCCTATATTACATTAAAATCTATTTTACCCATGTCTGCTTTTGTAGTATCACTCATGCACTGCTTGTTTGGAAAATATTGATTCACCAAGTTATGTAGGTCTTCCATATGTTGACACATTTCATCATACAGTATCAAAAAAAAAAAAATCACAGATACAACCACTGATTTCATCGTAAAGCTGTCAAGTTCATGGTGGTGGGTACACGTTTTCCACAACTCTAATTTTTGCTTAAACCTCAAATTCTATCAGTGGCAACAAATACTGTCAGATGTGTTGTTTTTTAAGTGACAGGCTTACTTCATTGTCCAGAAAATGTCTACCCAGTCCCAAGTTTGAATAATCAGTTTGTCTAGAGTTTTCCTTTCAGGTCAAAATGACATTACATGAAAAAAGCAGCTAGTTGGACACTCAGGTCAAACAAGTGCCCACGTGTTTCCCTTTTCCTTCAGGATAACCATTGCACTTCACTATATGCCTATGCCTATATGCATATGCCTATGCCTTCACTATATGCTTTATGCCTATTTTCCATTTCAGCTCAGAATATTTTTAAGTATACTCAAGGGTCAAGATTGAATAAAACTTAGTCGTTTTACTGTTTCATCATTAGACATCCTGAAGTAAAACTAGCATTTTCTTTTTTAGCTTTGGATGTATGGCCATGAATAAGGAGACTACTGCAACACTTATGTCACTGCTTGATTTATGCTAAGGCCCCAGCACTTATGCCTGCCATCGCTTTTGCACCATCAGTATCAATGTTAGTGCAGTGAAAAAGGCAAATAGGGTCTTTGTGTTATTATGAAAATAGTTTTGACCTTACGGGCCCAGTCTTAATCTGAGGACTACAGGATACGAAGCCCTGAGTTATATTGAAGAAATGCACAATAGATGATGAGGGCTAAACTAAGGCATATGCAGTGGGTGTGGGAAAGGAGATAGATCAGAGACTTTGCAACTATCAGTCCTCAATTGCTGCTACAAACAGAATGAATGAAGGGAAGTGTAGCATGAAAGGCCTCTGTCCTGAGGACACGAAGGATAGTTTTGTCATTAGCCAGGATGGGAACTGAAGAAGTTTGTATACCATTGAATTTATGGTACCAGCAGTACATTATGACTTAACAGTAAAAGGACTTAGAAGACTGACAATCAGGAAAACTCCAAAGTCTGAGGTATGTTTAGCTTAAGCCTGTCCAATTTTCTAGAACCATCTGCTTGTGAAAGCCAGGTAATGACTTCTTCTAATGTCAGTGATATCAAAAAAAGTGCACATTTAAAACTCCTTTCTCCTTTGTTTTCCAGAACCTGCACAGATTTACTCACATTCCTTCAGGAAAGTGCTTAGATCGCTCAGACATCCTACATCAAGTGTTCATCTCCAATTGTGACTCCAGTAAAATGACTCAAAAGTGGGAAATGAATAACATCCATAGTGTTTAGAAAGAATAAAAGAAACCAATAACCTACCTACTGACACATAAATTTATACAGGACTGAAAACCGCCTGAAACCTGCTGCAACTATTATTAACTCTGTACAGCTCCAAACCCAGAACCTCCTGATCAGTTTGAAGGATGTTGATAAACTGTGATTTTACAATAACATTATCATCTGCAGTTACTGTTTACAAAACTGCTTTTACCTTAAACTTTGTAGATGTTTACATCTTTTTTTGTTTTGTTTTAAGATGATGTTGGTAATTTGTGCATTTAGCTCTGTTTTAATTAGAACAGAGTTAAAAGCATTGTTGTCTTCTTTGGGATTACACTCAGGGGTCTGAAAGGCAGTTTGATTTTTTTTTTTCTTTAACACACTTGAAAAAAGGTTGGAGTAACCAGACTTTCATATATAACTTGGTGATTATCAACCTGTTGTGTCTTTATTTAATTTTACATCTTTATGAAGCACTGCCACAGGTTCTTAGCCAAGGTGGCCTTCCTTCACAGTCATGCTGCTTTTTTGAAAGGTGAATTTCAACACATTTAGTGCCTCTTTCATTTCTCAGTATATATTTCAAGAGCTTTTGATGAAATTTTTAGGATGGTATTGATGGAATTGTCATCTGTATGAGGAATACTTTTATTACTCAGAAATGAATTTACATGCTACCATTTGCTCTGAAATTGAATGTTGTGCGGCTTGAGAAAGAAAAGACAGTATGGAACATCCCAAGGCTATTTCATAGGGTTGAAGATTGTATGGCATTAACTTGCTTACATGCTGGCATTCCCCATGCTCTCTATTGATACTGATTCCCAAGATCAGTCAAGAGGGTCTACCAACTAGAGAAAAATTGTCCACTGACATCTGGGATTTACTTTTCCCCAGTACCTGTCACTATAGAAAACTATAAGTAATTCTCAGTTTCGAAATCTTGAAATATGGGGGTAACAAAAATAACAAAACACCACCGTAAACACATCAGAGTTTCATTCTGACCAAGGTAAGAATTTCCAAGCCCTTTTTAGATTAAGCCTTACAAAAACTCCTGTGCATTATTAACCTAAGCTGTGCAACCTATGAAGCCAAGAGTGAATGGATGTTTCATGTATATCTTCATCCAAATGAAATTCCCTACACATTTTTTAAATTAAAATCTGTTTAAAAATATAGTTCATTAACAAATATGAACTTCGGTTAGGTTAGGTTTTGGTTCTCTAGTGTTTCTTAATTTTTTTTAGGAAGCATATTCCTATTAGTATTTCTCCAGTGAAAAAGAAGACTTGTTTGGATTTAAACATTTATTAAGATAGGACTTACTATAGGAAAACCAAACAGTGCAAGTGGTCAATTCAGTTTTAATTTCTAAAGTCTTTTGTTACCCAAAAGATTAAAATGCTACATTGAGTTTAAAAAAAAAAAAAAAAAA